CATTTGAACTGGGATAAGGCAGATAGCCTTCCTTTGGACCCGTTAGAGTGCACATGGCTTGTGGGGTTAATTTTTGTGGCAGACAATCGCTATTTTGGTTTTAGGTCCCTGGCAATCTTTCAGAAAATACCCATGGACAAAGTTTTCTCCAGTAAGAGAAGTAACTTAATTTTTTGTCCTACTTTTAAAAGAAAAAGCCAGGTGCTCCAAATGGAAAGCATATGGACCCCAGCTAGGAAGCAGTATGTAGTTTGTTGCACAGGAGCATAGTCTGGACTTTTGAGCCTGGAGCAAATAAAAGTTACATCTTACTGAAGCTCCCAAACTCTGACAACAGATGTTTCACTGGTGTTCCTCTGCCTAGCTGCAGCTTCCAGACAACCCTTTTGTGGTGAGTCGTCTTGTACCATATTACTAAGGGATGCTGCCATACTCTTGTTTAGACTGTCTAGGTAGGATAATTTCTCTCGTCGTTGTTGTTGTTATTCTCATTGCTGTAGACTACGTCCTTTGGCCATTTCTGAGTTCTGTAGTAGAACCAGAGAGCTGGAGACTGTCTGTTTAGGTTTGTGTTTCCATCATCAGTCCCCAGAGTGAGGACTTCAGCAGGGTGGTTGCTAAACAACAGCTTCCATAACAGAAAGTAGAGGAAAACCAAAACCTTACTCCTAAACATTACTGCATTCAGCAAACCTTGTCTTCAGTGTACTTCTCTCCAAAATCTAGAAGAGGTATGTCTTGCAGTTATTCTGGAAGTGAATGATTGTGGAAGTTACACTAATGTAAACCAATTAAATTAATTATAGTGAGCAGTTCTAGAAAAAGATTAATTTTCTATTTCCTGGCAAGTCACTCATTCCTGAAAGGATAAGTATGCATTTCTCCAGAGCAGCAGTGAGCCATGCTGTAATATAAAGTAGCCTTTACTTTTCTAGAGCATGAAGGAGACATTTGAACACTATGTAACATTTTCTACAGTCTCTTGTATTTAATTTTGGAATAATTTTGGATTTTGTCTTAGAATTACTATAACTGAAATGCATAGAAAGCCTCACCAATGAGCTCAGAACATTCTTGTTGTGGATGAGGCCTGGGTAGGAAGAACAGAAGTAGACTTGCTTTGTTGGTCCTGTTAGAGGCTAGCCCAAGCATGCAGCATGGTATTAAGGATATTATTTGAACCTGTTTTATTTTAAGAAATGTTCACAGCTATTACTAACAAATACTGAGATGAGGTGTTCCCTGCTGAATTAAACTGTCTTCGTATTGGCCACTTTTCCCATGAATATGACAACAGCACATACACAAACAAAGGTGGCTGCTGTCCTCACTTTTGCAAACAGCCAAGGTGTGTAAATGGCATTCTTCTGGGAACCTTCAGACAGGAGCAGTTTGTTCCAGAGTAACAGCTCCTGGCCATCACACAGGCATGAATTTTACAAAGCTGAAAATGCTGTGTTTAGCAGGATGGCCTCCTGAGGTTTCAAGAGAAGCAAACTCTCAGTTTAAGGCTTCCCATGCTCATCTGTGTGGCACATTGAATCCTTTCATTTCAGAAATTACCACTTCAGTAGATGATTTTGTTATGGCACTTTTACTGTTAGGATTGCAAGGCCCTGAAACCCCAACAACATAACCACCAGCTTCCCAGAAAGAAGGCAGGATTTTTATTTTTTTTTCAGTAACAGCTTTTTTTCAATGCTTTTTTATGTCTGTAAAATATGTTTGAAATATTTTTCCTTGAACTGTACTTATACTGTGCTACATAATATTACTTCTTTATACACAATCTGTCTTCTGAAATAAGCAGAAATCTAACAGCATCTAGGTTGGCAGTGATGATGTGAAGCTTATGGGTAGAACTGGGCACTGAGAAAGGTATTAAAGCTGAAACAGAAATGTTCATTATGCATTTATGTAACTACAGGTTTCGTTGCTCTTTCAGAGACATTGCAATCAATTGAATGGTCTGTCTTTGCGCTTTCTGTCAAGAAATCAAGGTGGATTTGTAATTGAGAATACAGACTGTTAAAACAATGAAGGTAGGAGATTATGGGTTTTTTTGCAGTTGTTTTTGATAGGCTTTCTCTGGACAAAAAATAAATAAGAAGGTGCTCTCCTCCTTCTAGAAGAAATTCAGAAAGTGTCTCTGGAGATCTGAAGTCCACATCTTAGCTGACAAAGTAGGTATCATTGTCTCTGAGCTGCCTAAGCTAAATCAAGAGTGAGGCATGACAGCAGTGGGATAGCAAGGGATCAGGCAAGGATCATCAAAAAAGGGACTTGGGAGTAGATTAAAACCCCACATCCTAAGATTAAAGCAGAGGCTGAATGGACCCAGTTTGTTGCACTGCAAGGCCTTTGGGTGAATTGGGGTTACACTGAAGTTGAGGGAAATGCTGGTTTAGAAAAGACATGATTACGTGCACATGGCTTGCTATTAAAATTGCATGTTAGAGCTCTGGAACCTTATGCATGAGAGGGAGAAACCCAGCACATGGGAATCATAGGTGAGTGAGTTTGTGGTTTTGAAAAGGTGTGTATGTCTTGGTTCATAGCATGCCAGTGCTAAAGAGCTATCATCAGGCCACATATTACATATCACAATGCAGCTGGAAGTTGCTTTTCTGATGGGTGGGTAGGTTTAGAAAAGAAGCTGAGAGTTACCTTATTTTGAGCTATCTTCTCTACCTTGAAGGATCTAGGAAACTAAATTTCAATAATTTGTATTTTGAAACTTATGTGTTCAGGAGTTTCCTACAAAATAGCAACACTGAGGGGAAAAAATTAAAATGTTTTGGAAATAGAACATCATATTTTCAAAATCACGTTTCTTCTTTGGTAGTGTTGTAAAATATGGAATATATCTAGATTATCTGAAGTCAGGATGTTCTTTGATCTAAGATCTTTGTATACTTTCAAGCCTAATCAGCCATCTGCAACCTTCACTGGGTACTGGCATGAGGAAAGGCAATTAAGGACATATTGATCTCTGCGCCAATTTAAAAATCTGCCCCCAGGAGTTTGACCTACTTTGGACTAAGCTTGTTCATTGGCAGTCTCCTCCCTGCTCCCAAAAGTAGCCGCGTCAACAAGGACACTGCTGCTTTCCCAGATGAAAGTGGGGAGATATTGATGTCCCCCGGGTTGGATGGAGCTCACAACTGGTTACACTTAGGGGGATGCATCAGTGCTGGGCAGATACATCACAGCTGCTTTCATAACATACGTTCTCAGCCCAACCCAGACCTGCAACCTGCTAATAGAGTACCTGGAAAAAGCAGGGCAAACTTTTTAATCTATTTTTAGATCTGTCAAGACAGATCTAGCCTGGAGTCCTAGAGAGACTGTAATTATGGGGTAATATGTAAGGTCTTTGCTTTTTGGAGTAATTTACAAAAGGGAAACAGATGAAGGCAGTAGCTTTTGCCTCCAAGTTGAAACAAGGTATTGCAGATGTTTCCACAAAGAGAGGAGAGGCACTGGGCAGGAGGCGGCTTCTCAGTGCAGGGGGCTGGCTCTACATCACTTCCACCTGCCCCCTACTCCAGACACCAATCCACTGCAGATGGACAGCATAGGCTGTACAGATGAGAAAAGAGAGGTGTACAGCTCCCATTCACCCTAGACTGTCCTGCATGGATCTCTCTCTCCCTAGCACCTGCCAATCCTTTTTCTATTTCCTTCTGGGAGGCTTCCTCCTGAAGGAAGAAAGGATCTGATCTCATTTTGCCCCAAGAACTGCAACACACCAGCTGCCACAATTGAGATGCTCTTTCTCAGGTAAAGCAAAACCCAAACTTGAATGCAGACCATTTTGCCCCAATTCCTCTGATTTTCCTGCAGTTTTTCCAGATGGGAGAACGAAAGTAAGTGGTGCATTTCCCTGTCATAATTGTTTCTTAGGAATTAAAATGACTGCAACATCTACTGGATTATTATTTTATATTATTACATATATGAATAAGAATATGCGTATGAGTGTATATCTGGGCTATATGGGGGATGCTGAATTTAAATGGCAATCAAATACTTACCTCTCCCTCACCTTCTTCCATTTGCCTAGCATCAAACTGTCATGTATCATTGGAAGTTGGGCTGTTAGAAGCACCTTATGACAGAAGTGCTTGAGGGGGAGCTGTGTTCTGCCTCTGATATCCTGGGAAAAATCTCCAATAAATCAGTCTCCTCTGAACTGGGATGTAACAACAAGGAGGAAAAACTTAAGTTCTGCCCTCTACTAAAATTCATAAACTTTACAGGCTCTGGGTCTGAAAATAATATGATGAAGCAGACTGGATGTCTAGTAACACTGCCAGAAATGAGCAAAGCACAGGGTGAAAGAAACCAGAAATCCTGCTCACTAATACAATGGACATTTGGGGGGGAAACAAACATGCTCTGTCTACCTACCCTTGCCTGAGTTTGAACTCTGTCATTCATGAATCATGTACAAATGGAAGCTTGAAGGGCAAGAAGTGGTGCTGGGCTGACAGACAGGAAGAGTACTGGAATGTGATCCAGGCTGTGTAGCCTCTCTCTGCCACTGGCCTCAGCTGACTTTGGGCTTTTGATTCCCAGTGCCTCAGTTTTCCCATCTACACAGTAAATTCTGCTCTTCATAGAGGGCTACTAGCAGGGAGGATGAGGGGAGCTGTCTACACTTAGGTAAATATGGTTTTGCTGGTTCATTTTATCTAAAATAGAAATACAATATGATAAGGGAAAGGCATCCGAAATTTACTGAGGACAGAGGTGAGGCAGGCCGGGGCAGTGAGGCAAGAACTTTTCCATCCCAACCCCAGACTTTTGGAAAGTAGCTTATCTGCAAAATAACTTGAGACTCAGCCAGGCCCCAGACCTGAGAGCAGCCAGTGGGCAAGTACAGAGGTGGAGCCTGCACTGAGGCTGTTTGATAGATATAAAATGCTAGGATGGGTCAGTGCTGACCAGAGCACCCGGGAAGTGGCTGAGGGGAGCTGTGCAGAGCAGCCCTGGCCATGGGGACAGTGGCTCCAGTCCTTTTGGTACTGCTCAGCCTAAGAGTGACTATTTGTGATGCTGAGGACACCTGCTCAGGTGAGTAAACCACAAACCTTACTGCCGTCTCACTGAGACAGCCTGTTTCATCTCCCCTGATAAGAGAAAGAGGTTGGGAGGGGAGAGGGGAGGGGGGAGAAGTAGCATATGTTTTTTTTTCCTTCTATGCTTTTTTAAATTCGGCTGCCAGTGGGAGGAGAGTAAGGGGAGGCTGAAGTCTCAGCAGCAGCTGTTTAAGAAAGCTACTGGCTCCAATTAGTGGTGTAACATCGTTCCCTGACCAGTGGGGTGTCTAGGAACAGACAGTCTTCAGTGAAGTTTTCCCCCTCAGTTTGGATTTTTTTCAGTAGGGCCTCCGTGCAGTTACCAAAGGATACAGAACAAGACAAAGGATCAGTCTGGGGATGCTGCGCAGCACAGCGTTCTCACTGTATTCCCCAAGAAGGCCTGGGGCAATTTCAAACAGGCCTGCCATCAGGAAATTCAGAAGAACTCTTACCCTTACTGCCCACAGATCCACCAGTGTCACTTAGTCTGCTATGAATACCCCATTGGGGCACCTCTCAGTTTATGTTTTATTAACTACAGTATATTTGTCATGCATGCAATGTCATATTTATCAGCCTCCTCTCCTATTGAACTCCCCTGAAGCCAGAGAGATGCAGAGTCTGGCTCCTCTAATATGTGAGATCCTCACTGCCATCTGTCAATCCATTCAACACCCTGATACTTCCATACTCAGTGCTTTTGATTATACTGTTCCTCAACTTCAAATGATTTGGTTTCCTCTCCAAGACATTTCAGAGCCTTAATAATCTTCACAAAGACTGTCTTCATTTCTTAGAGGTGAGAATAGTGGGACTCCGTGATGCTGACCGACTTGCCATTCTTCAAGGATGTCCAGGGATCCCAGGTGTCTCTGGCCCAAAAGGAGAAGCAGGTCTCCCAGGAACAAAAGGTGAGGCCCCCAAAACCAGTGATGAGCACTGTGAGATGAGATGGTTTTGTTCCTTTGCATAGGAGAAGCAAGCTGAGGCTGGAGCAGTAGCTGGCCTGGCACTGGCTGCTGTGAGGAACTGGAGAACTGGAGAGAAAAACACCCCAATTAAACATATGCTGGTACACATGGAGTGACCTGTTTCTTCCTTAAGTCCTGTCACAAATCTGATGTGATCTTGGAGTGTGAAGTATCTTATTCGTTTCTTCTACAGAAAATCATCCATTTATTTTTTGGGTCTGTATTCAAGAGTCTGGATGGGAGGGAGACTGAAATGCTCCTGCCTGTTTTTTTGGGGAACAGTGTGGGAAATGTACTGGCAACCTCTATTCCGGGGAGCAAGGGAGATGGGGCTCCTTCAGAGTTTTCATAGCCAACTCACAGAGAAGGTCAATCATGTCAGCTGAGCGAGATGACCTACCACAGCAAAATCCATAGACTGGCTCCACAATGTATCAAAGCTCATAAGAATTCATATGTGAACTGCAAATTTAGACTTTGAATGGCAGTACCAGTGTAGTAAGGCTTCAATAGAAAAATGGGAGTAAGGTAAAAGAGTAAAACCAGGTTACAAGACTGAATCTGATTACCTCAGCTCCCCCATTTCTGTGAAAGGCAAGGCCCAGTTGCCCAGGCTTCTGTGACTCCCTGCTCTGGTCAGTTTGTAACATGCACATAAAAAATGAGTCTCTTTGCAGGAGAAACGGGAGACCAGGGATTCCCTGGGAAAGCAGGACCACCTGGTGCAAAAGGTAATGTACAACATATGCAGCTCTAATCTGTAAATGCCCCCAAGCTCAGGACATATATTAGGAGATTGGGTCTACAGAGATGAACTGCAGGACTGGCCATAGGCTAAGAAACGGTGCTGAAGTAGCATAGGAAAAGCCTGATTTGGGGTATGGCTCTTGCATGGAGTGAACACCAGAAACAGCGTCCTTGAGTGTCCGGGACCACAACACAGAAGAAGATTCCACTCTTCTCAGAATTTCTCATTGACCCTAAAATCAGACCTCTCCCCATTCCCCATTCCTACCCTAACCTGCCCCCAGCACAGCAAGCCTGCCTAAATGCCTCCCAGCCCTGAGGAGCTTTGGAGCTCTCCATGGAGCTTCAGCCCAGAGGCCTGATGCAGAGGCACTATGCTGAGTGCTTGTTCTGCCAATTGACAGGGGCAATTTAAAGAACATACCAGTGGAAAGAATGGTCTTATTTTACTATGAATATAGAGGTAACACAGAAGTTAAATAATACATTCAATAAAACTATATGCTTGGCTTTGGCAACAAGCAAAAAATTAGCAAGGTAATGCACCTAATCATTACTATACAAGAGGCAGGATAGTGATTTAGAAGGATACATTATTAATTGCCTAAATACTTTAACATCATCCAGTCACTGGGGAGCCCTGTTTCACAGGAAGGGCAACCCTTCCTGGCAACTGGGGAAATCCTACATGCTGTAGGAGATCCCATAGGTGAGGTCTCTGGATTTCCCCTGAAAGGGAGTCCAGTGTTTACAGGCCCAAATCAGCAAGCCAAAGTGACTTGATTTTATTTTTAGCTCAGGAATGCCCGAATCTGATGGCATGCTTTCCACTTAGCCAGGGCCAGTGCTCAGCCAGAGCCCAGGTTTTGGCTGGGAGGGTTTTCCCCTAAAATACCTTACGAACAAGCCTCTCAGTTGGAAAAGTTTCTTAAAATGATACATTTCTTGCAGATAGCTACAGAAGGTTATAAACAGTTAGCATAAGCATCTTTGTCATCTATTTTTAGGTAAATAATACTGATGGTGTTAGTCACACAATATTCACAATTCATCTTGTAAGTCTACTCTGGCTCAGCCCTGCTGCTCAGGCCTAGGCATATCATTGCTTTCAGCAGCCTTCAGCCTTCCACTCGGTGTGCAGTGCCCACTAGACCACAAGAATGAGATCAAACAATGGCACAGGATGAGGTTTCCTTTGTAATGGGATGAACCCCTGAAGAGGACAATGTCTATTGAGAAACTGGCTTTCACTGCCCAGGCCTGCTTAGGACCTTCAGCAGGAATGTGCTGCAAATACTGGAAAAGTGTCTCTACTAAAGGATCCAGCTGCCAGCACAAGGGAACTTGTGTAGGGACTGAGCAGCACTGACTAACTAAAGGGAAGATGTCCCTTTTTACGTGCTGAATATGAAGCTATTTCCTGGCCAAAAGCACCCAAGACTTGAACTGAAATGCCAGCAGGAGATGGACAAAACCACTGAAAACCCTGACAAACCCTATTGATCAAAATCTTTTAAGTGCCTGACTGTAAAGAGAAAGCCCCCACAAAAAAATCACTGAAATGGAACTGTGAAGCCCCATACATTCCAAGAGATGGAGAAGCAGCTCTCTCTCCTCTATATCCCGCTCTTCTTGCTGTTCCTGGGAGATCAAGAGAACAGCCAGGCTGAGGCAGCAGCACCACCTGGGACACTCCTCCAAGCACTGTAGATTTGCACCTCTTGACAGCCTCTCTTGTACAATTGAGACATATTGAGGGGCTGGAGCAGCCATTTGTAGAGGCACAGTAATTCATTTGCATTGGATAGTCTGTGATGAGCATTTTCCTCTCGTATTTTGTAGGAGCAGCTGGAGAGCCTGGCTTCCCAGGACTGAAAGGTAAATCACGCTGGGCTGAATTTATCATGTGAGCTACTTTGTAAACTTCTACCCTGCGCTGTTCTCCTACATCAGATGAGAGCAGTTACAGAGACTGGATGAGGCTGTTTGCTGACAGTTATACCTCATCGTAGGCTCTGCCCTGGTGCACGTGCTGTGGGTAGTCCTGCTCCCAAACCAGATGTTCAGTAACAGGTGCTGTTCTCAACTCAGGCAGCTGGTGCTGCCACCTGGCACCATCAGCTGCAGAAGCCACAGGGCTGAGGGACCAGCCAGATTTGGGCAGAGCTCTTAATATTCTCATGCTATGGCAAAATGCAGAGGCTCAAAAGAAATTCAGTTGCTGCTAATGCCAGAGGAACATGTCTCTACCAGCACTAGCAATAAGGTATTAGGGAAACATGGGTTTTTTCCCTTATGCCATCATCCTGCATGTGATGGCCACAGGCACCCACCACTGAGCACAAATCTGCACTGTGGCCTCCCCCTCTGGAATTTGGCTGGCAATCACGGGGTCCAACACCACTGGTCTGGCAGATGGTTCTAGTGCTCCAGTTGTCACTGCTGCTCCCAAACCACTGGCTGAAGCCCTGTACCACCAGCAGCCATTCCCCTGATGGGACTTACAACTTGCCTTTCCAAGGCGCATTGCTTCCTCCTTGCCACACTCACCCACTCCTATCCCACATGTCCTAGCCCGGTGGGATTCACTGGCACAAACTGCTGGTAGACAGCTCCATGGGCTGCACAGCAGCAAGCAGAGCAGCTGGGTCCAACAGAGATACGTCCTGTGTCAGTCTCACCATTTGGACCTCTAAGCCCTAAAACAGATGCCAGCAGGAACTACCTCATGCCGGATCCAACAGGCCACGAGAGGCAAGGCTGCCACTCCTTGTGCATAAATTGATATTGGCTTCCCACCTGCCTCTCTGTGCTTTCCTAGGTCTGTGCAGATAGGCTGGTGGGTCTCCTCTGGTGGGCCTGGCAGCAGCCAGGACAGCTTATACTGAGCAACCCTTCCTGCCTGCTTTCTCTATGCCTTTCATTTGCTTGGTGCAGATGAGCCAAGCACTTCCTGTAACATAACAGCTTTCCAGTGCAGCAGGATTTGTCTTGGCAAATCTCAAGTACTGGGGAAGGGGAATGCTGGGTGTGGAAGGTGGAGAGCAATTGATGGTGTTGTTTATCCAACAGGAACAAAAGGAGAGCCTGGATTTCCAGAAATATGGGGTAAGTTTCATCCTAGGTCTTCACAACACTGGTCAGCTCTGCAGAGTGGATGGTGGTGGACTACCTGCACCAGAAGTCAGGACAGGATAGGAATAGAAACGAGTTCAGAGTGACATTGAAGAATGGAATAAGGAAATATCACTGTTATCTTTGCGTCTCACAGACACATGCAGCTTCTGTGGGCCTACTCTGTACTCCAGTCATGCTGGGAAAGTCAGGTCCTCTGAGCACTACTTAAATGTCCTGTCCTCCATGTGTCCTGGAGGAGGTCGATTTTTCAGAGACTTGGTGTCCTGATTTCTAAGATGAAACCACTGCAACCACCTGTATGGACATGTGGCTACTTCAAAGGCAATTATACTCCTGCACTTGCAGTGACACCTTTAGTACTTGCGGAGTTCATACGTGTGATAGTGTTCAGACTAACTTATTCACTGGAAGAAAAAAAGAAAAATAAAAGAAACAATTTTCAGTTGCCCCATCTGGCTCTGTCTCCATGAACTAAAGTTCAAGGACAGCTACAACCTGCTCTGGCTACAGCTGGGTGCTCTAGGGCCACAATAAAGGCTCAGACAGATCAAAGCTGCTGTAACACCTGACAGATTGGGATGCCACTGAACTGGTTCCTTGCTGCCCCAGACACTTCTCTGGGCATGTAAAAGATTTGACTAATAGGAAGGAAAAGGCCAAGTCCAGGACCATCTCCCTCCTAGGAGAGCAGGGTACCCTGCCTGGTACAGCTGTGTACACATGTATCACACACAGCACACTGGGACACATGCACCACCAGCACCACCATCTCTGATCATCCTCCCAGGCTTTCCCTAAAACAACTACTGACGCAGCTGTAGGTTGGGATGTCTGACAGGGACAATTCAGTCTCCTGTGAATCTGAACTTCTGTCAGCAGGTATGGTTTTGGGGAGGGAAAAAAAGTATACATAAGATGCATATATATGCGTGCACACACACACACACACACACACACACACACACACATATATATATAAAGGTATATATTCAAAAGCACTTTGTTTCTTGGGGAGACCTCAGTGTGGCCTTCTAGTACTTAGGGGGTGCTTATAAAAAAGCTGGAGAGTGATTTTTTTGCAAGGGCAGTGATAGGACACTGTCACTGTGTGATTTACAGAACGATTTACAGCTAAAAGAGGAGAGATTTAGATTAGATATTAGGAGATGATTCTTTACTCAGAAGGTGGTAAGACCTTAGCACAGGTTTGCCAGAGAAGCTGCAGCTGCCCATCCCTGGAAGTGTCCAAGGCCAGGTTTGGATGAGACTTGGAGCAACCTAGTGGAAGATGTCCCCGCCCATGGCAGGGGGTGCAATGAGATGAGCTTTAATGTTCCTTCCAACCCAAACCGTGGGTGATTCTATGATTCAATCCATAAAGGATGAGCTGAATACTGTTCACTGCCTCACAGGGAACACTGTGCCCTGCATACATTCTGGAGCTGGGACAAATTTCTGGATCATGAGTTTGTCATCTTTTTCAGTGCAGCTCCATCATACAGATCCCCAGAAGTCATTGCAGATGAGAGGAGTCTCAGCACCTTAGACCATCTTTTTTTGAAGGTGCCCATCTCCCTGGCAACATATGGGCCCAGAAGCCATGGCAGAGTTTGGCTCCCAGCAGCTCTACATTAAGATCCTGCAGTACAAAGAGCCAGCTAGGTGGTGAAGGGCTCAAAGGCTCAAGGCTGGTGTGCTCCTGTGAACAGTAAACACATTATAACTCTTTGCACTTGATCTTTTTGATTTGCACAGAACCGGAGAACTGCCAAGAACTGTTGGCCAAAGGGAAGATTTTCAGTGGCTGGTACACAATCTACCCCCAAGACTGCAATGCCACCACCGTCTTCTGTGACATGGACACGGATGGCGGGGGATGGATTGTGAGTAGGATGAGGAGAGGGAGGTTTACATGTTCCTATAGAGATTCTTGTTAAGGCTGCAAAGGATGGCTCAAAAATAGAAACACAGCTGCAGTTCACACCTGCAAGCCAGAGTGAATCCCTCTGGACACAGGGGATTCCCCCAAGACTTGTCTCTGGAAGCAGGCTGAGTGCCACAGACCCACTCCCTGATTAAATCAGCAAATCATTTCCTTTTCATTTCCAAGGGCATATGGAAGAGATCATTGAGCAAGGGATTCTTGTGGGGTTTGCTCCCCAGACACCTACAAGAGTGTCCTGATGCAGGGGAAGCATTCACCATGGTGGGTGTGTCCCCCAGACACTGTGGATGCTTTTGAGTGAAGGATGGGCTGGTGGGGCTGAGAGTCTCTTTCAGGTTTTTCAGAGGCGCTGGGATGGGTCAGTGAACTTCTTGCGAGATTGGGATTCATACAAACGAGGTTTTGGCAACCAGCTGACGGAGTTCTGGATGGGGAATGACAACATCCACTTCCTCACCTCTCTGGGTAAGGTCTGTCTCTGTCCCAGGCTGGGGCCATGAGAGTCCAACCCCTATACCAAATTGGGTCATTGCAGACCTCTGAGTTTCTCATATTCATCTGAGGTCCCCACTGTTAATCCCAAGCAGGATGCAGGCTCTTGCAGTCTACTGCACACTGGAAACTGCACTCTAAAAAAAAGCAAAACTAGAAATCAGGGAAGAGAATGAACTAGCTGCATGATCTACCCTGGAGACAGGCCAACACATCTTCCTACTTGGACTGTTTGTGATGGCATCATCTGGTCCATACACAACCTCGGAGTTACAGCTGTGTGCAGGACCCCTGCCCATGACCACCCAATATCATATCTGAAAAGGTGCTTCCCTAGAAAACCATCAAAGGTATAGGAGGCTCTGCAGGAATTTTAAGGAAATCAAAATCTCTCAAGTAGTGGCAGCTCCTCTCAAGTTAGCTCACAGCACCTTAAACCCTCCACTCTGAAATCCAGTGGCATACTCACCATCTGCCCTGCACCACTGCTGTCCATCTTCTCTTCTAGGACCCTGTGAACTCCGTGTTGACCTCAGAGACTTTGAGAACAACTACTATTTTGCCAAGTATGCTTCATTCAGAGTTTTAGGAGAGTCAGAGAAATACAGACTGATTCTAGGAGACTTCCTTGGTGGAAACGCTGGTAAGTTTGAGGCAGCTCACTGGGAAAGTCTGTTTCCTAGAGCATTTCAGAAGTGTTCAGCTTCTATGCAGAGATGTATCATGCACACTCCTTGTATCAGCTACATTTTGGGTCAGTTTTTTAAAACTGGCCATGGTACCTCAGGTACTGAGTGACCTCTGGGTACAGGGATGGAGGGGGACATGCATCACCCGAAGAAATGTGACTCAGAGCATTACCTTCAAGCCCAGCCCTATGGTTTAACTGCAAATGAGCCTGGTCCTGGGCAGCACCCCATCCGATTGACCCTTCCAAGAGCTCTGCATCAGCCAGGTCAAGGTCTGCTTTTGGTTACATTGGCAGGAGACATTTGCCCAGGTGGTCTAACATTTCCAGGGCTGGGGTGCTGTTCAATACCTGCAGCATCAGCACTCCATCCTCTTAATACCCGATTTTTATTATTTTTTTTTTAAGTAAACAATCTTCTTCAAAATTCAATATCCATCATTCAGGAATGAGTGAAACCAACACCTGAGAGAGCAGTGCTCTAGGTTTATGTGGCTGTGCACACTGCAACCCTGTCTGGTAATTCAGACCTGTGTATCTGCAGAGAACCTGAGCATTCCAAGAAAAGTGACATCTGTGTACCTGTGAAAAGAATCTGGCCCACTTGATTCACAGGCATAGATAAATTCTCCATGTGTTTTAGCAGAGCTAAGGATACTTTTGTCCAAGACAAAGAGGAAAGAGAGCAAGAGAGCAGCAAGATTTATACAACCTGCCTTGCACCTGGCAAGGGCCACTGGTGCCCAGCAGGGGTGCACAGACACATCAGTGTCCTGTTTGTGATCCCTACTGCAGTAACCATGAACATGTGTTCTCTGCAGGGGACTCCTTATCGTACCACAGGGACATGCCATTTTCAACAACAGATCACGACAATGACATGAGTTCCTTTAACTGTGCCACAGAATATAAGGGAGCGTGGTGGTACAATGACTGCCATTACTCCAACCTGAACGGGATGTACTGGATGGGTGCACATGGGAGCTATGCTGATGGCATCAACTGGAAGACAGGCAAAGAATACCACTACTCCTATAAGCAAACAGAAATGAAGTTCAGGCCAGTTTAACATGGTGACAGGGTGCCTGACTAGGTCCAAGAAGTGCCACTCACCCACCAACAGAATACACAAAACAATGTTGCTTGGGGACAAAAACGGACCAGAAAGAGTATTACAGGTTGTCCCTTCTGCCTAAAGCAGGATTTTTGAAGCCAGAAGCGGTACTGGTTTGAGCTTCTGTAAGCACCAGATCCTGACCCTCTCTCACCCTGAGTACCTTCAGCAGCCCCACTGCTGCAGACTGAGCCCAAGTACCTTCTTCTGAAAAGTGTGTTATCTTGATTTAAAGACCAGGTGATGAGTGGAGCCAGTGCACCTCAGTAAAGCTCTCTGATATTACTACCCTAAATGGTAATTACTGCTAATCTCCAGTATAATCCATGTATATGAAGACTCCAATTTGCATCCAGCCTCTTTCTATTGGACCCAAGAGCCATCCAAAAGGCACTGAATTCCTGACCTGTTCCACTCTCCCCGCAGGCTGTGATGGAGCCACAACATAGAACAGCATGGAAAAGACTGAGCTTCCAGCACAGTGTGTAGGAATCCACGAAATCAGAGGGTTTTGGGAAAGCTGCAAAAGGCAGGCCTCAGGGACAGCAGAACTGTGATTAGAGCTAAGCAGTAGCCATGAGACAGGTCAGCAGAAAAATTATTTAAAAAGTAGAAAAGCAAGGACAAATAGAACAATGGTCTGTGTATTAATGCTTGTCTCGAATAACTCCCTAAGCTACAGAAAAGTTTATCTAGCAAGATATTAGGAAGTTTGAAGCTTAATAATGGAGCTCTGTGCATTGTGTTTTAATGCTTACAAGTAGGTATTGTATTCAAAATAAGCAAGCATTGTTTTAACCAAAGGTATGTGTGCTTATAGGTTGGATAGAACTGCTGTCAATGAGCTTTTGCTTTGTGTGATTGGTCAAAAAACTTCTAAAGTTGTAACATTAAGTTCTTGGTCTGCTGCTGGGGATGTGAGCTGCTGGCATCTTCCTACATGGTCATAACCATGTAATGAGATTGATGCTGAAAAATAAAACAGCTCAAGGCACAGTCCACAGCAGTCCCGTCCTGTTTGTGATTTGTACACATACCCCTGGCCAGCGATACAGTGCTGTCAGCACTATCAGTTTCCCATTTCTTTCCTAACATGTTCCAGGACCTCAGGTGGGACCCCAGCTCCTGGAACCAGAGCAGAGTTGCTCAGCACTTCCCACCAGGACACAGCTGCAGCTGGGCCCAGAGCAAACTTTAGCCATTCTTCCAGGGCATGTTTCTAGATCTCATTAGTTGCTGTGGACCAAGAGCTGTATGCAAAACAGTCTGTTCAGCATCATGTGTCGTACCAAGACACTATAGCAGTGTCAAGCCTTGCACGTGGTCATCATGTACAGTGCCAGTACCTTCCACTTCATCTTGTTTCCAGCAGCATTTGAGAGTGGCCTATCTGCTGGTGGGTGGACACAGTTCACCTGGTTCATGTATTATATTTGACTATCAGCAGAACTGGGTCTCTTCTTCTTGCACTTATGCTGCTGGACTCCTTGCCACAGCTGACAGAGGAGAGCCAAGCGCTAACTCTTCACTGCAGGGATAAACAGAGACAGCAGAAATAGAGTATTTATTTGTGTTATGTTTCTAATGATCTCAGGTTTATTTCACTGTATATTGCACAGATATGTAGGAAGGGCAGCTCCAGCCCTACAAGACAGAATCCAAACCTTGTGGGTGAGAAAAGTGAGAAGGTCACTCAGCCTGCCACAGCAGGTCAACAGTGCGCTAAGAAATAAACCTGAGGGTTTGCATCTCCCCACTCACTCCTGTCTCAGTTTACTTCTTTTCAGTTACACAAGAAAGAGTGTGTCTGAGCAGAGAAGTGCACACTGAAAGCCCCATAGTTACTTCTCCCTCTCCAGGAGCTCTGTCTTGTTTTTCTGCTACTCCCAATGAGATTCACATGCCCTCACCAGTACCAAGGTCCAAGAATATTCCGCTGTATCTCGCCCATCTGCTGCTGATGCTGTCTTCCAGGAGTAGCTTCTCAGAGGTGGAAGGTACTACCAGAGACTACTCTGCAGAGATGTATAAGCAGGTGCTGATATACTCCGCTATAAACTAGCTAAAAGTGCTAAATACCCTTTCTCTGCTCACCTCTAGCTTCTCCTCTTACTACACAGAAACCTTCAATGTTTAAATTTTGCTTGTAAAGGACGCTGATGAGACTTTAAACAGACTACTTACTACACAGAAATAAAAGAACTACTAGTAGATAAAATACAGTGCACGATAAAGGTAACTGTATTACATCTAGTGAAGAAATAGTACACATTAAGATTCAGTGTCATTTACCACTAAATGGATGGAGTGTTGAGGGTTTCTTGCAGGACAAAGGATATATATGCACAATCCAGTCTTCGTAGAAACTGAGTAAGGTCACAATGCCCTTGAAGAACACGAAAGAAGAACACACTCAGCGGCAGACGGTTCAGGACGTAAAGGCAGACAAGAAAATCGCAGTGAGACTCATGAAGATGAAACACTAACTAAAATTAACTGAAAGCTTAAAACACATGCACAGAAGGATTTAACCAATCATGTGTTAGCTTGAGGCGCGAACAATAGAACACAGTATAAATATAGCTTGCTTTTTGCAATAAATTGGCTTCACGTGATCACATTGATCACGGTGTGATGTCCCTTTCCTGATCCTCCGCAATAATGGAGTACACATCAAATTCTTCCTCTCAATTCCCAGGCAAGTAACCATGGAATTTGTGTTCAAACTCCAGAGAAGTTCCTGCATGTTTCCAGAAACTTCCAAGAAGTTTCTACCTCCACGAAAATTTGTGTAGCTTTTATAGTTGTAAAAGTAGTGTCTTCAGTCAAGAATTTCTAGCTTATCTCCCCACATTTGTTCTCACATCCAGTTGTTTATTGGGAGTTCTACTTCTGGTGCCAGAGAGAGAAATAACACTTCTCTGTGCAGTGTAGCCCCAGCTTCCTGCTGAGCAGTGCAGTCACATCACTCCTCAGTGAACTGCCACATCACTGTTACAGAGCCTTCAAACCTGACCTCCTGAAGAATCTTTTCAGGAGGCTGGTGCTGTAACACCACTTTGTGCAGTTTTTGACAAGCCTGCACATGGATTTATGTTACCGCTTGGTCACGTGGCTGGTACAAACCTGCATGATGCCTCCCAAACACAAGGCTCAGCGCTGTGCCACTACCAGCTCCCTGCACTCCACAGGAACATGGCTTCTCTGTCCCTCCAGTGCCATCATGCTGAGCTCTGGCTCAAGGCAGCAGCTAGCATGGCCCCAGAAACATCCACCCAGCACTTTACAGGAACAGCAAAAGACAAGGTCAAACTTTTCTCCTGATGTCCACCATGCCAAACCAAAGTTTCTCTCAGTCAGACATTGCAGCCTTTCTCATCATAATCTCACTGAAAGTGAAAGAAGTTGATAATAGGTAACTCATGTAAGCATGAGTTAACTATTAAGAGTTAACAAATATTAAGCACAAGCTTAAGAAGCAGGACATACCTTAGCCTTGTCAAGATAAGAGACACAGAATGCACCTTGTCAAGGTAAGAGGAACAAAACCTATTAACAGCAGAAAACACTGAACCAGCCAGCAAAGGACATGCATGCTTCAGAAAGAAAGTTTAAAAGTGCAAAGTGAGGAAGACTACCAGCGTTCATCAGAACGACCACTGAGGAAGACTCAGAGCCTTCTTCAGTGTGACCAACAGAGTACACTGTGCTTGCACGTCACATATGCTAATGATATTAATGATTTCCGAGAATAATTTGTATCACCACTCCAATCCCAAGGAATGTAATGAATACGCATGAAATTTAGCCATATATTGTGCTGTGTGAAAGTGCTGGGTGTGTTAGGAGGAGCACTCCCCCACGTACCCAGTGCCAAATAAAGCAAATACCCACCTCACTGAGTCAGTGTCTGAGGGGACTCTTAGCTCAGCATTGGAGTGAATCAAAACAAGAGAACTGTCCCATAGTGTTCTCCTGGGCTACACGAATTCTGCAACCCTGAAGAAATCCAGCTGTTGCTTGAAGGCATGGCCTCACCTTCCTCTGCTTCATCTGCCCCTGCCTTCTCTCCTGGGCTGGCACAGGCCTCTGCACGGACTCCCTTGTGAGCCAGACCCGAAGACCAATCCCTCATTAAATCAATTCAACGGAAGAAAAGCATAGCTCCTTCTCAGCTGGCTCAGCTTCCTGGTCCTGCTTTTTACGCAACGGCACGAACCTGCGCTTGGGAGGGACCACAACAAACACCTGATGGGGGAGGAGAGGTCCCCTTCTCCTAGTTCTGACCTGAGCGCGCACGGGATGGAGTGGCCAGGTAACCTTTACCAGAAGTACAAATTACAGAACTAACTTTCCATATCTGCTGCCTTTTTAGTCTCTGCAGTACACAGTGGCGCGGCCCCCTCCACCCCCAGGAGCGTAAGGAGGAGGAGGAGGCGGCCCGGCCCGGCCCGGCCCAGCCCGCTGAGTAGCGAAGCCGGCGAGTCGAGCCGCCATAACAGGTCCGTGGCGCTCGCGTGGTCACGTGAAGGGACGCTGAGTCACCGCATGATCCCGAAGCGGTGGGTCACGTGACCGGTGCCTGCGCGGCGCGGGCGGAGCGGCTGCCATGGAGTCGGTGCTGCTGCTCTCGGCCCTGCTGCTGCTGCTCCCGCCGCTGCCGTCCGCCCGCGCCGCTCCCGGTGGGTGTTTCGGGCCGGACCCTTCTGCCTGTCACCCCTGCTCCTCGGGCCGGACCCGGCTGCCGGACTTCCTCCTTCCTCAGCCAGAGCCCCGGCCCTCCGGTGCACAGGACCCTCTACTAGCTTTCCCAGGCCCTGGGCAGGACTCCGAACTAGCCTCGCTGGGCCGGAGCCCTCAGCCAGCCTGGGGAGCACCGAGAGGGTGCTCCGAGCTCCCCGGGTCCCATTTCCCAGGCTGGGTTGTGCCGTACCGGGTGACCTCGCCTGTTGTCG